GAGAATAATATGAAAAATAACATCGACACAGTTTGTAAACATACCGTGGGAACATATTTTTTTTCAGAAAATTAACATTTATAATATGTTAAATTAACAAATATTTCATTCATTTGTCTTACACAGAGAGAAAAATGTTTGGTATTTGTAACTATAATTATATATTACTATAATTATGATTATTACTGCTATAATAATAATAATAACAGTAACTATATATATAGTTCCAGCAACAAATGTTATAATTGGCAACCTAAAATGACTATAATTATAGTTGTTATAACCATAAAATAGTTGAAATTACCATAAAAATGGTTCAAGTGACTATAATTTTATAGTTATATTTTGGGACAACCATAAAAAATATGGTAAAAAATTCAACACAAACTGTTAACAACGTGAGTGGACCGTTTCCAACATAAATATACAAATTTTTTTACTGTGTATATCTCACTTTTTACAATAATCGAATAGATCGTCATTTATATAAAATATTTGCAATATTTCAGTTTTAGAAAAATTATCTTTTTTACTCGATAGAAATTTTTTGCATTTTTATTATTATAAATCTTTATTTATTCCTGATCTGACCGATAATTCTCGTTTCACATAATAAACGTATCATTACGAAGATAATAATAATGCGCTTTCGTCGCGCGATATGTATCTTTGTAAATCGAGAAGAGAGTATTATATCTTCAGATTAAACGCACCGCGTTACTCATCCGAAATATATTCTTAATTGTAAGAGAAATTATGCGGTAAAGAGTTAACTTTACAATTCCAACTTGCTTTCATCCAATATCGCACTGCACGTAAACACGCTGTTGTTAAATCTAAGATAAAAATAACTGCTATCATTATCGTTAATCGTGCTAATAAAGGGAAGTTTCATCGTTACATCACGACAAGAAACATCGACACATCGTCTCCTCAAAGCTTAGTTTAATTTTTACATTGTTTCTCTTAACAAGTTAGCTAAAATTAGAAGTACGTCTATCGTCTAATAATTGTCAGTTTCGATATGTTACCCACTGGATTTATTTACAATTTTTTTATTTAAAAGTTATTTTTCAGATAAAAAATAGAAGAAACATTCACGATTAAATTTACAAAATGTAATAAGTTCGAATGAGCTTATTATGTTTTTTGCTTAAATGAGTTTCTCGATTACTCATTTAATTAACTTGATGTAGAATATTTTATAATATGACAAATATTTAAAGCCAAAAATATAATTCGCGCAGGCAACCACATTAAATTGATAAAATTTGTTACGTTTTAAACTTTGCTTTATATAAGTTTATAAGAACACAAACAATGTGAAAATAATTATAAACGAATATAAAATGTAAAATTGGTAAAGTTGGTCTCTTTATTTTTTTGGATACGTACAGATTGAACCGCATTCTTCATCATGTATAAAACACAAGAGCTATGATGGTTTTCAGAAATTATTTATCTGTAGGTATTCAAAAGATGTAAAAAGACGGCAGCTTAAAATCTCGTATATAACTTAACTATGTGTATAACATAAAAATTCTATTTTTACAAAAAGAACAAGCAGATTAAAGAGTCACCGATAAAAAGCTAATTTTAAGTGTATACTAAAAACTTTTCAAACCCCCAGTCCTGAAACTTTGTTCTCTTGTAAACGTGTGCGTGCATATTAATTATGAAATTATATCAACCTCTAACAACGTAAAATATAGACATTACGTAACATTAAACGTATATGTTTTAATCTCGATATCAATCACGATATACATTCATCTGAAAAATCAATCCATTTCTATTTAAGATTCTTTGTTTGAACTGTTTATATATTATTGGAAGAAACGAATACACACAAAGAAGTTAAATGTTAAATTAAGTATTGTTGTAGCACATTAAAAATTATCGTTGATATCTTTTGCAAATGTATTAATTACTTCGCATTAAACTTCACAGGAAATGAAGTTTTGTGCAAATCATAAAAGATAGACGCGAGTTTTACACCGGCAATTCGTCAAATTTCAAAGGGAATCCTGAATATTCAAGAATTATATTACAACGAGAGAATATGTTGGAATCTCTGGAATCGAAAGATTATGTGCAGTAATTATTAAATCGTTGCACAGAATCTATCGATCTATTAGATTTTGGACAATCCTTAGAATCCGCGAAATTTAGGCCCTAGAGATTCAGATAGCACACAAATCCCACAATCACTTCATCTACCATATTTCCATATTATCCCGTTTACTTGCTATCCATTCTCTATGTGTGTGTGTCTCTCTCTTTCTCTTTTCCCTTCCTCCCCCTTTCTCGATGCCTTAGCTCATAACATCGCGAGCGTTGTTCCTCCAGCTCTCATCATTAAACGAATGAGCTCATCAATAAAACAACACGATCCTTCATTAAACGATCTGCTGCCGTTTAGCCGTCGTAACACCCACTAGGTCTGAGTTTAGTTTTGCAGAGCAATTAAATTATTCATGCAACACGGTGGACCCAAAGTCAAGCCGTCCTACCCTTCGTGATGGTAGTAGATCTTGTCTTTGCAATTGCATGTGGCGCCGCAGAACTTTCGGCGTTCATGACCCTCCTTGGTGTCCGTCTCGCAGACCCACGAAGAAAACGTCCTGAGCAGTTCGGCGCAGTTGGACCACAGATCGGTATGATAGCAGGCGTTCGTACAAAGCGCGTCCTGCGTGCAGTGATCCTTGCACATGCTGCACGGCTTTCCGGCCACGTACGGCAAGCCCAGACGGCCCTTGTAGTTCCCGCTGCGAGGCAAGAACATACCGGCTATTAGACAATATCGATCTCAGCACCGATCGTAACAGCTCGAAGCGACATGAAAACGTGAAAAATAAATTTAAATATTTCGTCGCGATTTAAATATCGTTAGACAGAAGCACGTTCCGCATTTCATCTGTTTTGGCTCACTATAAAAGAAAGAAAAAAAAATTTAGATTTCGAGCACGATAAGAATATAAATTTAATATCGACGACACTAATTTAACATTCATTTCGATACTTGTAACGACAAATTTTGTTTCTTTTTTGCATCAAACTAGTCCGTGCAGCATTGGATTTTTGTAAAATGTTCTTATTGCTCTCTGTTTCTAACTTATTCTGATTCACGTTATATTAATATTTCATTCAGTATATAAATATCGCTCGGATACAGAGTCACTGTATACATTATTACAAATATATATTGCTTGAATTTACTTGAGTTGCTTGAGAAGGAGAAAGAGTAAAAAATTACATCAAAAGATGTCATTTAGGTATCTAAAGCGCTCCTCTTAATAATTCAACAAGTTGAAGAAGAGTCAATTGCATGTCCTTAGATAAGAGCGAGAAAATTTTAACATGCGCGTTTGCCTTGTTAAAATTAAAATAGTAATTATACGAGAATTAGAATCAAGTTTGCTTTAGCGTTAAATTTCTCGGATTAAATTTCATAACAGCAACAAGTATCCTCTTGATAATTATATGTTTTAAGCTAAACTTTATATCTTTATAGAAAAGATTCTATATTGATACAATTGCTTAATTTATATTTTATTCCAAATTAACTGAAGAATACGTACTGAATGAATCACTTTAAAAAAATGTTGTTTACTATAATAATATCTTTATTAAATTTAAAATTTATAGACACTTCGTTATTAATATTCCCATTCTTTTTAAAATAACTTCCAGTATTTGCAACTTAAAATAAATATCTGATTTCTAAGATAGTCTGTATAATAGTGTAAAAATACTTTAGGCAGTATCCTAATCCAAATCCATTAGCCATGCGCATTAACGAAAAGCTGTGGAAGGACGTCGAGCAATTTGCAAATGGGCCACCGAATTTACATTCAAAGTATTTTTCGGTACGAATCGCGCGTCTTAAACGATCCCGCGAGAATTTCTGTCTCTAAAGGCCGGCCAGCTCGGGCTGCTGTATATCCACGAAATTAATTACGAGATAGAGCCGGTGTGGAAGAACGGCAAGATAAAAGGAAGGATAAGGTGGCCCACCACCACCTGACACGGTTTATTTATTCAGGACTCGGGCCACTGATGGCGGCCATGCACCGGCTTCGCTTTTCGCGCAAAATAGGTCAGGCGTCAAATACACTGCTGGAGAATGTGTGCTGCTTAATAAGAAGTATAGACTGACATATAAATTGGCATATGAAATGATCTTAAAAACTGCTTTATAAAATACCATTTTTTTCTCTGAAATGCTAGAGTTTTTTCTATGGAAATTGATTTCACAATAAATGCCACAATGGATGTGCTAATTTTTAATTAATTTTAGCTAAAGCTTATTACAAAGCTTATTACAAAGTATGGTCGATGTACGAAATACATTCTATAGTTTTAAAATCTATTAAATTTTGTTAAATTCTTCTAGTGAATTTATATTTGTTTCGAAAATTCGTTTGAGTTCAGTTTAATTTGCTGAGTTTCTCTGCGGTAGAAAAGCTAATATGACGACCGTATACGCATTTGCCTGTTAGTATCTCGTCTTGTAACATGAATATATGAAACTACGGTGAACTCGTCGCAGATCGTATTAGAACGGATCTCGCGGAAAATTTATCGGGTCCGCGTATTGCGAGGGATCGATATGAGGAATATATAGCATCACGATTTGTAGGAATCCTTAGTTCAGAATTGGGTCGCCGGCATTTTTGTACGGTTTGCAGGAACGATAAATTGCAAGACCGAAGACCGGAGCGAATTCTAATTGCGTGAGTCGCTCGCGCGTAAAATGTCGCTGAGAAAATCATTTATTTATTGTCACTCACTTGGACAGCTTACTCGGGAATGCAAAGATAGCAGCGTGGTAACCCCCTCCCCCTCTCTTTCTCTGTTATGTATAATTCTCTACTTCAGTGAATCATTGTTTTATACATGTTTAAAATGTTACTATTCAATTTATAATCTTTAGAACGTTATGTAAGAATGCACATACTCGTATTATTGTTAAATTAAGGCAAGTTATTTTCTCTATATCTCTTTCTGATTAGTATTATTATTTACAGAGTAAAAGTATAAATAAAAAAAAAGAATTACATAAACAATTTCAGTTTCTATTAACAAGATAAGTGTAATATTTTTAACTTTATGTTAATATAATCGTTTTTATATTCTTCGAAGAATATATAGAGGAGAAGGTGGTATTATGGCACCTCAGTTACATTCTACACAATAACTTTGTTAATAATTAATATTTAAGTTTAAAATTTGACAATTACATTCATTAAAATATTATTGAATCGATTCTGGACTCAAAGTTACGAAATATTTATTAATTAGAATACTATTAATAAAAATGTGGCGACATTGCGTAATGACTCTAAGAAAAAAATGGGCGGTAATATGGCCTTCCATAAAAATAGCCTTAAAATATTATATAATATGTAATTTTGTTTAGAAAACAGTATTTGGTTACAAAATTAACAAAAAAGAAAAACATTTTAAAATATATGCAAATGAACGTATATACATTCATATAACTTCTGCATATAAGCTGCTTATAGTACTAAAAAGCTCAGTACTAAAAATAGTACACATAATATACCTAAACTATAGATTAACAGTAGAGTTACAATCGATTATCAAATAATTATTTTGATATGAAAACCTTAAAACAGAAGTCGTGAGTAATCAATATCCATAGAAGGCCACATTAGCAAAATGCCATGGTATTGTTTAAATTTGAATAACTCAAAATATATATAGTCAAATAAAATGTTAAATAGCAAATAACATACTCAAAAATACATATATTTATGTGATAATATTCTCAAATTTAAGAAAAATGAGGAAGTAGGTGTAATTAAATGCTAAAGTGTACCTCAGAAACGTTTCGAAATACTTGAAAGTAAAAATGCGTTATAATAAGTGCTGGTTATTGAATATTGGTAATATTAGCGTCATGGTGTAACGGTGAGCTACTAAACTAATAATTCCATAAGTAATCATTAAGATTCGCTATATATAATAGCGGAAATATTAAGGAAGGACACAATATATACACTGGCGATAATATCACCTTCTCCTCTAATATTCATCTTTATGTTAAATTAATTTTACTTTTAAAGTATTAATGTTTTTACAAATTTATTAGTACTTTTTATATTCGAATTTAATATTCGATGTCATAAACCGTTTTTCTTAATCAAAATATGTATCAGTACTTTTCCTTTCAACTAACTCGTATCTCTCTCTCACTCGAGCTTCAAAAAAATTCTTATTCATACATCGTACATCGTATGTTTTGCATTGAGCATCCTGCACATATATTTATAATATATATATATTATATATACATATATATATACATATATGTATTATATATTTTATCCAGTATAGTAGCGACAACGAAAACCATAAGTATACTGAGAAAATGTGCCATACTGGTGACAAAGAGAGCCGTCTAAGTGCCACAATGGGCATGACAAAGACGAACGAGCTATAACTCGCGCTGACGTTGCATATATTCCGCACCAGTGTCACCATTTTCCTTGTTTTCCTTGCTTACCTCGTTCCTCCTGTTCTCCTCCGAGCGGGTTATGTCACTTACATACTGTGTATAAATATAGGATTTACATATTTCAGCATGTCTAGGGAAAGCTTACGTGACACGAGCTTGAATGCAACATCGGTTGTTTTTTATGAAAAAGGTTAAGCTACACGTATAATCAAGTCCGTAGTGGCTGAAAACCACAATCTTTAAATCAATCGTTTGAAAAAGAAGTGGCTTCGAGTTATTGAATTCCCTAAGATGTCGCACCGTGAATAGTTATAATTCTCAAGGTATTAGGGAGTTTTTGCAATAACGTGGATCCAGATACGGTGAACGTTAAAGTCACGTTATCCTTTTCTTAATTAGTTATTAAGAAGAAAATAACCTGACTTTAGCGTTCACCGTATCTGGATAAACGGTATTGCAAAAACTCTCTATTCTAAGGTCACTGCACCCTATAATATCGTTTTTCATTCAAGAAGTACTGACAGCACAGTTTTCTCAAGCAACATTCTCCTTTAGCTGTTTATATAATATCTATACTTGATTCCAGAAAAAAACTAAAAAAATTTTCCAATATTGAAGTAACAAATATCTTCTGTTCCATAAATATGTTTTATAAATTCTATTGTTATGTATCGTTATATATATATTCCTAATATATTTTCTTAATATACCCTTTATTTATTTTTTTTCCTCTATTTTATCAGTCTGCAAATTTTTATTGATGTAAAAGTTATTATTTTTTTTTTAGAGAAAAATTTTCAATAGATTTATTTATTACAAGATTAAAGTTCTTATTTAAATGTAACTATTATTGTTATGTAAAAAGCGAACTATTTGCGAAATGTAATAAGACTCTTTCTCTTTTTGTTAATCTTTCTCTTTTTTTATAATATATACCTTTTTTATGTTAATGATTTAACAATCTGCTTTGACCTTCTCCTATTCAGCAAATGTCGATTTAACTAAGATCCGCTTTGATGATGCCGCACACGACG